CTATCAATTCCAATCACAACACCCCTCCTCCTCCTCCATCCACCACCTCCTCCTCTTCTTCCTCTTCTTCCCAAGTTCTTTTATTTCAAAAAAATCAATAACGCGTATATACACGTCGCGGCTCAGCCGGGTTGAACGCCGGCTGCCCTACTTCTATCGGGCCCTCGTCCACATAACGACGGCTTTGAGGCGCGCTAAGAAAACGGCGTTCATCAAAAGCCTCCTCATGTGCCGTGCTCACCTCGCGATATCGCGGCTGGGACACATGCACTGGCCCAGGCTGCGCACTTTCATGCCGAATATACCCTTCGGCTACCTCTCTCCGAATGCCTTCAGGTCGCATACTATACGATCGCGAGGGCGCATACTCTCGCGGCGGGCCCATCTCACTATACTGCGGCATCGGCCGATATTCCACTTCCACTGGACGTCGAGACGACTCTCGCTGTCGGTAAGCCGGGCCCTCCATCAGCTCGGGGTCTGATGCTTCTACATAACGTCGAGGTGGTGGAGGCATTCTCTGCCCACTATGGTCTTCGAATATCTCTGTACGAGCAGGCGCTCGCATGATTGGCTCTCGAGTCACTGCTCGCTCATAGAAAGGTTCAGCTTCCATCCTACGGCTGGGCGGTGCCATGGACTCTCTTGCCTCCACGGGTGCCGCGTAGTACTTGTTCCCATATTGATCAACCACGATGCGTCGAGGCGGAGGAGCCATCAATATAGGTGAAGGCTGACGAGGAAGGTATTCCAGGACGGGTGAACGCGAACGCTCGCGAATATATCTTGGCGTAGCTGCCGGTCGAGCCGATGCTTCTCGGTAGATTTGTGGCTCCGCTCGATCTACAAACGCATGGGACACGGCTCGGGCCTGGCGTGGTTCGGGTATCTGGAACATCTCGGCGCCGCCACTTGGTGAATAGGGTCTCCGTGCATATTGGAGGCTTGCGACCCGCCTCAGATCCTGCTCATCACGTTGCAGCCTCCGCTGTGGTACATGTATGACGGTTGGTGAAGCTGGCTCCTCAATCTCACGATATGAGCGTGAAGATTGTTCTTGGTCGCGGTAGTAGACTGGTTGCGCTCTGACACCCTCTTGCAATGGACCCACATCCATATCGTTCGGTAAAGACTGAAGAGCTCTGCGCTTACTAGGTTGCGCATCAACGTATGCCCCAAACTGGGGCGGTGACTGAGGCTCTTGCTTGATGTAGGGCTCTGGCGAGGGGTCAGCATCAACGCGTTTGTTGGCTTGCTGTTGGCGTCGCTTTTCATCGCGTTTCTCGTCTCGTCTTCGCTTGCGAGGATTATTAACAGGAGCTGCGGGGCCAGTTGGACTTTGTCGACGCGAGCTGTGTTCAGTTAGCATCTTGAAAATAAGATTCTTGAGACCAAATGATCCAAAGATCTCAGGCGGCCAGTTTTCACCAAACCTCGGGATAATGTTCTAGATCTGGCGGGATACTGATCGTTGACAAATGCCTCAACGGCTTGTAGCCAGGACCGATTTAGTTCACAGACAGTAAAGCACAGTGAAGATAGAGTGGAATCTTGGAGGGTGGGAGAGTAATGAGAGAACCATACCCATGTTGTTCCCTGTCGCCAGCGCCGCGAGCTCGCATACGCCCTCTGGGGGGCTCATTTGGCCCAAGGTCAGCTGGAGGGGGCGAGTAATCTTCTTCTTCAGCATCGTCTTGCAGCAATGTCGAATCAGGCTCATAGATCTCAATGTCATCAGCCGGCTCATACGCTTCTTCGTCAAGATCAATCACTGTGGGCTCAACAGGGCGTGACTGGGAAACTACAGGTCTGACAATCTGCTTCGCCTGGGATGTCAGTGGACTTGTTGCATCAGCTTGAGCGTTTTGGTTGGGATCAACCTCATCCGATGACCAACTATCCGCCTTACTAGAGTAGTACGAGTTCTCATCAAACGACTCCTCCGCGCCATCGCTGTTGTTAGTCGTTGCTCGTAAGCCAGATACGGGGGGTACACGCAGATGAGCCTTGATAAGACACTCTTCCACGTTGATCAGAGCTTCTCGCTCGTCTGTGTCACTGCCACGGCCTTTTTTATCGAACTGATCCTTCAACTGCCGTTCAATCTGCTGTCGCTTGAGCTGCAGCTCAGCCTTGATCAAGTGATCCGACTTTGTGAGCAACACCGGGTCGATGCCGGAAGATGAAGTCGCGGAGTATGGTCGCAGTGCGGGAGGAACAGGCGGCGTGGCGTGCTGGCGCGAGCTACCCGGACGCGGGGGCAATGATTGCGAAACAAATCCATTCGAGGTGCCGTTGGCTGAGATCTTGTTGTTAGGCGTCGACTGCGGGAGCCGCGGTGCAACCTGCTCGATGACCTTGGGGGGAAGATGTATACGCGGATGTTTGCTAGCAAACACCTGGTCGCGTATTTGTAGAAGATTTTGAAGAAATTCAGCCTCGCGAAGCAGTTCCACGGGTACTACGCCAGCGCCATTCAGATGCGACGATGGCATCGTGGATGTCGACATGGCTGACAGCGGAGTCTTCACAACCGTTGAAGCACTCTGGCTCAATACCAATACCAACGAATAGTACAATCACCGCAGTTATACAGATACAGGCGACAGACGCTGCTGTGACTGCGAACGTTGATGAAGGAAGGGATTTTGGTTGCGACACGCACCGGATATGAAAGGGATGCTGGAGACGGACGCGCGATGGAAAAACAACGATCGGTCGTGCCAAGACACTAGGCTGGAAGAAGGTTACTTGGGTACCACCTGCTCCCTCAACTAATCAAGTATCATTCCCGACCTGACGGTTGACCATTACTAATTTCACTTTGCAAGCATTTTGGCTTGGTTCAATTACTCAATTGCTGCTATTTTTCATGTGTGATTTATAAAAAAGGTACTGTGCTCTCGCGCTGCATCAAGCTTGTACCTATGATACTGATGTTTGTAGAGTCAGTCCATAGATCGATAACTCGCCATTATTACCTAATTTCACCAACCTCCTGAAAGTGCTGGCTGAATTTTGACTACAAAAGTGTGTCAAATCATTGGGCTGCTCCTTTTGCTGCTCGATCCTGCACGCCGGTATATAGGATCTACCATTTCGACACTACTTTCAGTCGACATCATGACGACCGACAATGAGAAGCCGGTTTTCTTCTTCGACATCGACAACTGCGTAAGTCCAGTAAAATCCGGAGACAACTGTTCTTGCTAATAGTATCAGCTCTATTCCAAGAGTGGGTGCCATATCACATGTCATGAAGTGCTATATTGATCGTTCCAGGCCTTGATATCCACCGCCTGATGGCTGAACTGATTGGTAAGTGTCCTTCACTTTGTAACAGTGACCTGAAATCTGTCGCTCTCATTCTTCCATTCTTTTACCATCATGTTCGTGCACTGATCCCGTATCTAGACAAGTTCTTCAAGGAACACCTGAGCTTGTCACAAGAAGAAGCCAATGAATTACACTACAGGTACTACCGCGAATACGGTCTCGCCATTGAAGGTCTGGTCCGCCATCACAAAGTCGACGCGCTGGAGTACAACGCGAAGGTTGACGATGCGCTCCCGCTAGAAGATATCATCAAGCCCGACCCAGAACTCCGCAAATTGATCCAAGATATCGACACAAGCAAAGTCCGGCTGTGGTTATTCACCAACGCGTACATCACGCACGGTAAGCGAGTTGTCAAGCTGCTGGGGGTCGACGATCTGTTCGAGGGCATCACGTTCTGTGATTATTCCTCAGACAAATTCTACTGCAAGCCGCACGCAGAAATGTTTGACAAGGCCATGCAAGAGGCAGGGATCAAGTCGAACGAAAAATGCTATTTTGTCGGTGAGTTGTGGCAAATGAAGAAGAAGGGACTTTTACTGATGTACTCATGGACGATTCCTTCATCAATTGCGAGGCTGCTGGAAAGCGAGGCTGGAACGTGGCCCATTTGCTTGGCGAGAAGGATCCCGCACCTCCACAACCGGCATGCAAATACCAGATCAGGAGCCTACAGGAGCTGCGCAAGATATTTCCGGAGTGTTTCAAGAGTTCTTAGATGGATTTTGGCCTGGAAATACTGGAATGATGCCCGAGTTCCATCCAGCGTGGGCTTCCCTGACTTCCAGGTTTCAGTGGTGTTTGGGATGGAGGATTGCAATACTAAAGACATATAGATGGCTAGATCAATGAGCCTAGATCAATACTAGAGTTTATACTTGTCCCGTAACCTCTACAGCAATGGAACGTCTATACTGGGCTTATCGATAGGACCTAAGATTAAGCCCGAACGTTATCGATAGGCTGTCGATCTGGCTGAGAGACCTCCGACGGGGAACTACGGTACAACGTGTCTGCCTCAACCCAGCTATCACATCGTTTAATTCCCTAATCCAAAGCCTCGTCATGACCACTAAGCCAACAAAACACTTTCAAATCATGACCTCCACCTCCACCACCTCTCCACCCGCCCCGCAATCCTCCGCGTTACCGCCCTCTCACCCCTTCAATCCCGAGAACAACCGCAGTACCTCACCGCCTCCACCCCTAGAGAACTTCGACCAGCAAATCTCAATCGTCTCCAAAGTCACTCCTCTACGCGAACCCCTCTTGCGCCTGGAAATCCGTGACCTATCTTCCAAAGGATCACAGGCCTTTCTGCGCCTCGTACACGCCTCGCACGCCCTCGACCATGCCGTCAACGTGGTGCTTAAGCACCTCTACACCGGCTTGGATAAGACATGCATCCCAGACACACGATCCGTGACACTGATACTGCGTGACATGGACGGTGTTGCGTACACCACCGGCCGAGATATTGACGACGACCACAAGGAGATACACTTCAACACGCGATATATAGCGCAGGTCTCTGAGTCGCGGCAAAAGGACGAGATCATGGGGGTTTTGGTGCATGAGATGGTGCATTGTTGGCAGCATAGCGGATGTGGGTCTGCTCCCGGCGGGTTGATCGAGGGCGTGGCGGATTGGGTGCGGTTGAAGGCTGGGTATGCGGCGCCGCATTGGAAGAGACATACGGATTGCGACTGGGATGCTGGGTATGAACGGACTGGCTATTTTTTGGAATGGCTGGAGAAGGAGCATGGTGAGGATGTAGTGAGGAAACTCAATGAGGGAATGAAGACTGGATACGATCAACATAAGCTTTGGCACGAATGTTGTGGGAAGGGTGTCAAGCATCTGTGGGAGGAGTACAAAAAGAGTTTGAAGTGTGATGAGGGTGAAAAGTAAAGTCTTGGTGCGCAGCGTAAGTCGTTTTTCAGGTCAATATGACACTAAAGAAAAACTACCATCCTGCTTCAACTGTGAATCGATGTCCAGATATGAAGAAGCTGTAAGCTGCCTGGGATTCTACTTTTCATGAATTTGTACAGGAGCCAGAGGGACCATACCATAGCACACGCCGCACAAAACCCCGTCTGCAGTCCAGCAGCAGGTAATATCACAAACACACAAAGACATGAACACAAACTATTGAAACGCAATGGAAACAGCACGACATAGATCTCAAAGAGTAACAGCTATATAATGGTAGCGCTACCTACATCACCCCTCCTCCTTGCAACCTTCTTCAATCCCTAACATCCCCCTGCTGAATATCCTTCCTCAACCTTGAGACCATGCCCAGCTGTGTACTAAAAGCATTCCCTGACTTGCAAAAAATCAAGGGTTCCTGAGTCAGAAATCAATCTTTGTGTAACGGGAGTGTGTGTTGAACTTGATTGTATTACTCGGTAGTTTAAAGCAGTATGGATACCCTATTTCCCTATATACTAAGTAGCAACATGGACCAAGTGAAGCCGACTGATATGAGGCAAGCTTGGTATCTTGTCTTATGAAGCAAGTGCCTCTGCTGAGAAAACGAACACACTAGCTATTACTCCTAGATGATTTAGGAGGTCAAGAAACTAGAAGATTAGTGATACACACGGATAGGATAACGGCTTTAGAGTGTATATCTGCTACCATGTATGTAGAGTATGTATATACGGTGGCCCTGTCACGCGTGGACTCATGATACCTTTGCAACGTCTGTCAAGAAGACGTCCTATTCAAGTTGCCCTGCGCCTTGAAAATACGAACTGTTCTATGTGTGGGGTATTATGTAGTGAATACAGACCAAATTCATGTCCGAGAGAGAGAACTCTAAGAGAGAAAACTCTAAGAGAGAAAACTTTCAATGAAAGAGGCAAGGAAATAAGAACTCTTCAGGAAGGGTTACTCTCTTCAACGTGCTGAACATCGAGTCCGCGCAAACGTTGAGATAAAAGGCCTGCGCTGAGTGGAGTGCTGGGGCTACTGACCGGAGAGAATGCATTGCCACCGTAACCGACATCACCCTTGTTGAGCTTTTCGAAAGTACCCTCTGTCTGACCAAAGGGACTCCTTGGCGACTGCACCGGTGTCTTGAAGGAACTCTGCGGATCTATGTCCATTTGATCGCGCGAAACGGGTCGCGACTCAATTGCAGCTAGTCGAGACAGGCTGAAGGGTATGGGTTGCAGGTTTGGCATGGCTGACCCCAAACTACTGGATGCGGATGTACTGAGTGGATATAAGTGAACGGATGGTGGAGGTAGAGATGTATTTGCCTGCAGGCCGTCCATGCGGTCGTATGCGTGTTGCGAGTGTGAGAGTGGCCATCCTGCACTACGACGACGGTGATCTTTTTCGGCAACGAGTTGTGATCCTAATGATGATGGAGTGTGTGCTGTAGTCACATCCCGCGTCGGCTTGTACACGCTGTATTTTGGCTCAGGGAGCTGGATCTCATTTCGAAGCTTCTCTTTTCCATCAGGAACTCGATTGGCGAAAACCACGCGAATGCTCTTATACAGGTAGTAGCGGCCCTTTGAAGGACAGCAGATGTGCAGATGTATTAGGTAGCGAAGAATAGGACGATCGTTGGGATCATCCGAGTTGCTTAGGGCAGCTTCCGGTCTGTCTGTGCCGTAATTTTTTCTGGAAGAGGTGGGCATATCGATTATTGGCCCAGCCGAGTAGCTGCGTTGCCGGATAAAGGTCTTTTGGCCGGCCTCCATGTCCGAAAGATCGTAAGGTACAAGAAACAACTTCACCGCTGTCTTGTTGGGGTTCTTTAGTACAATCTGAAGTTGGCCTTGGGCTGGTATTCGATAGCTACCACCTGGTGGTGCTCTCGGCGAGGTTGAGCGTCTCTTCCTCTTTTCCTTCCTCCGAGCTTCTTGTCTCAAACTTTGGCCTGAAAGCTCGTCCCCCAATTGTAAGCGGAAGTCGGCAGTCTCGGTCCCTAGGTCGGATGTGGCATGATGCCTTCGCGGACGTTTGCTGGTATCGGTACTTTCGGTCGGCTGTGGTAACGAATGTTCCAGATCTATAAGGCCTACATATGGACTCGGTTCATTATCTGAAATCCTGCCATTGCCAGTATTGTAGCTGTAAAAGACCGCAGGAAATGGAACTGTGACATGTGGCGGACACTTTAGACTCGGCTTGCATTGTCCTTTACCCAATACACCAATCTTGGCGACGAAATCTAAAGGTCGGGAGGGTGTTGTTGACATGCGCCCTCTTAATATAGATTCTTCGTATGAGCCTACCATAGGCGCATGCTGAAGCGGGGATGCTTCAGAAGAAAATGATGGTCTTCGGGGGCTCAGAAATGGTGTCGCAGGATTCGATTGTGGTTGATATTGGCTGTAAATGGAAGAACGCCGTGGCTGATGCGCTTGATAAGGAATAGAGTTTGTATGTCGTAGATGGCGAGCTGCTGGTGTACCGGAAGCAGAACGAGCCATCTCAGTGGACCTGTAGTCCTGGAAGGATTTAGGCGAAAAGGTATGTCGCCTGTTATTTCTCTCGGGACTTCTGGAGCCCTGTCGCGATCCTGGTCTGGAGGAGGGATCGAGGTCTGTATTGTTTGCCTGTTGAACCAAAGGGCTAGTTGGAGGAAGGAAGGCAAACGAGTTACCCGAACATTGTGATGTTGCCCGTGCGCGCGAGATTGAACGAGCTTCATTGCTGGGCGCATAGCTGAAGACGAATGGCTCGTTCCTAACGGCTGATTTTGCGGCGGCTGAAAAAGACCGATGCCATGGAACTACAGGTGAAGTCGACAAAGAACCTGCAGATGACGGCCCATTGCCAGATGTAGGACTGTCCTTGGGTGCCCTGAAGTCACCAGAGTGTAATGCTGATCTTGGTCGCTCGATCGCTTGGCCGGCTGCTGCGAGATCTCGCAAGGGCTCAGGAGTGGAGGTAGGCGAGGCTTGAGAGCCTCCAGCATTGGCGAGAGGAGTTCGAGGGCGGTCTCGTGAAGACGGTCGGCCATCGCGGTCAAAATATCGCTCTTCCTACGGCCTCGTTAATGTCCTAGCTACCAAAAACAAGGTCTCCAAGGCTCTATCTCCGCAGGAACCAGGCTCGGGCACTTACACTACGTCGCTGCAGCCATGGTGGGCTCTTCGCTCTCTTGAGTCGGTCTATCAATTCGATCCGGTCGAGCGTGCTTGGTAGGAGAACATCGCTAGGGGCAGCATCTGGGTCGACCTTGGCTGGCATGGCTGATACAGGCGCTACTTCAGAGGACCAGGTTTGCATCACTTGCTCTTCCAGGGCATATTCTGGCTGTCCTACTCTTGCATGTCCAACGGATGGCGCCTGACACGAGTTCACCGGCCGAGACGGAGTATCATGGGGATCATGAAATATGGGCATGCCTCAGACAAAAACAAAAATATCGCAAATGACATGAGAGCAGGAGCAGTCGCATAAAGGGTAGTGGCAAAGGTATGGCGAATGTGGAGCACTGAGATGGCAGCTCGGAACGGCGGCGGAGACAGGTCAAGTGGATGGAGCACTTGCTGGCCTGCCGAGTGACGTGAGTAACCTGGGGCTTGCACCTGGGCAGTCTACTCTTCAGCTGCGCTGGCTCCAGTCACATTTCCTCGTGGCTGCGCCGTAGAACGTAGAACTTGCCCGTTCCGAGACGAAACCAACAAAAGACAGTGGAGCGACCGGGTGAGAGGCAGAGCGAACGATTGCGCAGGTATTCAAAGGATAAGGATGACGCGCTACGGATTCTGACAAAGGGCGAAGAAAAGGTGGAGTTTGCTACGTGAATCGCTGCTGATAAAGTACCGCAACGTCCATTACCGGTTCTGGCCGACGCTTTGGCGCAGTGACGAGTGGAGTCACACGACGAAAATAAACTCTGATGGACGTTGCATAATTACCGCGGAAAGACGATTGGAGGCTGGAACGGCTTACGTACTTGGGCAGTGCTGTGTTAGAGGAGAAGTCGGTAGAGCAGAGAGTAGAGCAGAGAGTAGAGAGTAGAGAGTAGAGCAGAGAGTAGAGAGCAGAGAGTAGAGCAGAGAGTAGAGAGTAGAGCAAAGAGTGGTCGCAATCACAGAGAGGGAATGAAATGAACTGTAATGAATGAATTGATGTGGTCATGCTGTCATTCATGCAGGGAAAGAGGAAAGAGCAACCTACAAGCGCCACTCTTTAGCCGCGGCCCTCCCAGCGATATGACTGGCCCGTGACCTTCTCCGCTCGCGCCAAGGCTGGCTTCTCTTTTGCTGCCCAGCTGCTTCTGCTACATGCCAACTTTTTTTTTCCTGTAGCGACGCACACGACCATTTCGCCCAACACAAACGCTGCGAACATGGCTGCTGCTGCCAAACGCCCACGCGAGGACGAGGCGAAGTCATCTGCGAAGAAAATCAAAAAGGGATTCCAGATTGGACCGGCAAATCTGCCAGATGGCACACATAGACGCAAGGGTTAGTTAGCTACGCCGACGGTATACATCTACGCATCATGCTGATCTTGGGGTCAGTGCAAAAGATCAAAAAGGATCTCATCCACAAGGCCAAAGTCAAAAAAGAATACGCGAAACTCAAGGCTCGCCAAGAGACCGAAACCACAACGCCTCGCAAATCTGTCTATGAACGTGAACAACATAACGATGATCGTCACGAGGAGCCTACCGAGCCTATGCCAGAGCCTACGCTTGAGCCTCATCCTGACCGAGTGAAACTGCTCGAAGAAGCCGACCCAGAGGAAGAATCAAAGCAACACACTGAGCGTAGGCAGAGACGACCACGTCCCATGCCCTTCCAAAGGGAGGCCGAGTTGGCGCAGAAGAAGAAAGAGGAGGCCGAGGCGCGTCAGGCAGCAAGAGATGCCGCAGAAAAAGAACGTGCGCGAAAACAAGCAGAAAGAGAGCGCTTTAGGAAGACCATGGCCAAGGCGAGAGAAGGGCCGAACGGGCAGCGCAAACTCGGCCGCGAGAGTACAGTTCTGCTTGCAAAAGCTCAGCGACTCATGGGGAAGACTTGAATTCAATGGGAGTCCATGGGCTCTACTGCAAAATACCACACCAGGATTTGTAATCAATCGCCACTTGCAGACAGCCGAAGCTACCAAGCATAGCTGTACGGGTACCATCGAGCAGTAAGATTGAAGTGCAGTATCTGAGAAGCTGGATTCCCGCGCATCGGTCCTTGACGCCCTTTTGCTGCCCTGCCTCGATCCGTGGCGAACAGTTCCAGGACACGGTGGTCCACTCATCCTCTGGAATCCTAGATGACATGTTATACTCCACGGGGTGGCGTCTGACATAGCATCGGACCACGGAGATGTAAGCGACCGTTGATGAGAGTGCGTCACCGTACAATCAAATTGTCTCATCGCTATATGTAGGTATAGACACATGTACTGCATGACCATGCTGTACTCTTGGGGTATTGGCCTGTTTACCGGCGTGGTTTCATCACGTCAAACGTTACACAGGGTGCCTTCAATCACATCATATAGTAAAGAGCGGTGGATCGTTGTGGTAGTCCCACGAGTGACGGCCAATGAAGACGAACTTTCACTGTAAGCATAGTGAGCGATGCCGATATCTAGAACATCGGTACGCCGAACCATCCGCCTCTCACAACCTTGTAACGCTGTAGGTGTACTCTAGCTATAGGACAAACTTCGCCATAACTTGGCTCTGGGCATGTGATGCATGTCGCAAAATCTATCCACGTTTGTTCTGGATTATTCGTAACCTTGATAGCTATGGTTACTAGCGACAGATTCACTGCTTGCGTTTGCCAGTATGTCATGCTGCCTACTTTTATGGGGATGGGATAGGGTACCGCCTTTCCGGGATTAGCTAAGTGGAATTTACCGGATATGGCGATCAATACACAATCACTTTCACTCTGGTTCACTAACCCCTGTGGTTCCATCATCCTTCTATCATCCACCCCACGCGTTCCATCCTCACAAAGCTGACTTCTCGCATTCTGTACCAATCGAACGAAATTCACAAAATCGCCTCCTTAGCAATATTCTGGTTCTGGTGCCCGATCTTAATAACCGTGATAGCTCACAGTACCTTCGGTTATGCGAGCATACTGACAATCACTTGATATTGGGTTGCTTATCTGTCCAACAGGATAGCTTACTGGGGGAGCCGGGTGCATAGATCTCGTCGAGTGACGTAGGCGTTCTTCGTCCATTTGCTTACTTATATCAAGTTCTTACAGATCAGATCGATCTCTTGACGGGTCCATTTAGCCATCATGCACCACATTCGGAAACAGTGCCTATCCGCACAAAAGACGCGTAGAATGTGTTCACTAGCGATAGCCACAAGGCGGTCCTTAATCAGCTCAACGAACGACGGCCATCGTCATCACAATGGCTGGAAGCTCTATCATTCTTCGTGTTGCATGCGGGACACGTCACGCCGCTCTTGTCAGGGTACCTTCAACTATCTCAATGCTTTCTGCAGACGAAGTCGTAGACTGATCAGTATACTTACCGGTTTCGAGCAGCATACACCGTATTCAAACAGGTTGTGCGGAGGTGTAGATACCAGCAAACCTGTTCTCAGCCAGTTGGCCATGAGCTATGGAAACCTAGAAACATGTGTTCTCGAATTCCTAGAGAGCTCTTTGGCATACCATGCACCTGGATAAGCTTATGCTCGTTTTTAGGATATGGTCTTCTACCTACTGCTCTAGCGGTGTGTGTGGTCCATGCAGCCCTACCAGAAAGTTGCAGGGGCTTTACCTAGCTTGTATCAACATTGGGGCTGTGAACCACCATCAACGGCCCGTCATACGACACATCAGTGCTTGACTCACGCATCAGGTCGCAAAGCCTGTTGACATGCATGAGAGAAGTTGGTCACTGTTATTTTTCTCCGCTTCGTCCGTACAATGGATGGCCTAACGAGGCAAGGGCACTACAGCTGCTCTTCAAGCCCTGGCTAACCAAAAAGCGAACGGACTTCTATACACAACTAGTCGCAAGTAAGTAATAGAGCCAAGTGATTGTCTCTCTCAGGCTGACTTGCGCTTTAAAGTCAGGCATGCATCTGCGCCTGTATGTTTGCACTTCTTGTTACTTTTTTACGTCCCGTTATTCCTGCATTGGTCTAGTACTATACTTCCTTTGACAACCATCATCTTCGTCTAAATCTATAACTACCTTCATCCGATCGTAGACTTGTTCATATATAATATCGTGAGCTTATCCTCTGCAGTAAGTATTATCTAAAATTAGTGTACACTGCGCCGAATAACAGACGCATGCCAGACGTTTGTTTTCACCGATGGACTCATCAAATCGCCAACCTCGAAAATGGACACTATCAGAAGACCGCATACTTCGTGAACAAGTCGAAGCCCAATGTACGCCATAACCGATTCCCCCACACTTTTCATTGTTCTTAATCGCCAGAAGTGCCTGGACGACATGTAATTTTCGAATTTGAAGATGGCTGGCTGACCGAAACTGCAGCGATCAACGGCGACATTAGGGACTGGTAATCTGATTTCTTCCTTATTCCTAGCATAAAATTTTGACATTTTCTCTAGGTGTCGCGTCGCTGATCAACTCCCCGGCCGTACGAACAAGGACTGTCGAAAGAGGTGGCATAACTCCGTCGCTGGAGGGCTCAAGAAAGGGCAGTGGGCCAGAAGTGAAGATGATTTGCTTATCAAGGCTGTGAAGCAGCATGGGCAGAAGTGAGCATCACAATTCCTCCAGTTGGCTTAACTGACATGTTGCAAAGATGGACACTGGTCGCGACCAGTGTTACATCCAGGAGTGCAGACCGTAAGAATCTAGGATCGTAGAAAACGAAATCATGTAACTGAAAATCTTCAGAATGTGCGAAACGATGGCAACAGTCTCTCGACCCAGACTTGGACCGCAGCGAGTGGCTTGAGACTGAGGTTTGTTTCTTTCGATCAAATAGGCTGTCTGTATGGAAATTGGCTGATTATATGGCCCTAGGATAGGACTCTCCTCGAAGCAACTCAACGTCTTGGTCGACACTGGAAAGACATACAGCGAGAACACTTCCCTGGGCGATCTAAGAATTGTATCAAGAACCGGTCAGTTACCTTGCACGATGTTCAAGTCCTCTCTGACTTCAACCCAGCTACACAGTTCTAGTACGACGGTACCAAAACCAAGGCATACGTCTCCCAGATGTGGCGAGCTCACCGTCCGAATCTAGCACACCCGCAATATCAAGCTACCCCGAAGATGATGATTACCTCTCGTCTGCACCAAGTATGTACACCGATCTACTATCGGCACCTGCACACGCCACATCGTCACGAAGTCGCCATTCATGGTCGAGCATGGACAACGAAGCATATGCGACCTGGTCGACTGGTCAAGCCTACAACATGCCCATCGCGATGACCGCTCCGGACTTGTATCACACGACGACCACGGTGCCGCAGTATGCTTTGGCCCAGCCACCTACACTAGGCTCAAACGCTTCTCATACAACCTCGTCATCACACTGGACAACATCTGCAATGCAGTCGACAATGCCCATGTACACGCAGTCACCGGTCACCGACACCTTGCAGACTCCTTTCTACAGCGATAATTATCCAGCCACTGAACAAACACTGATGGCCTATAGCCCATCCTACACAGCCTCCACGGCCCGACCAAATTATACCATGCCTAATCAATCAGCCTCTAGCATGCCTCGCTCTAGGTCATCAAGTCAATACCAGCACCACCCAACGCACTCGACGCCGCCGACATACCACGATCCGCGGTACCCACATAATCCTGCCTATCACTATTGAGGCTGTGCACTATATGCTATAGTACGTTATGACTTGGCATCCCAGGTCGTCTTACACCTTCATACAAGGCAGCATCGATGTTGTTCCAACATTAGACTTTGTAACCAAGCAAACGGCAAAACAGCCGACAAAGATCTTTGAGATGACAGTGAAGTAATACCATCATCAGTAACACCGTCATAACATGCTTTTTCCCATCTTGAATGTTCGGCCCTGGCTGGTTGCCTTGTTGACAACGCAATTTAGCGAAGTCTTACCCGAAATGGAGGTAACCTAACAGTACCACACATCTTGCACAGCCTCAGAACTACCCGTATTCACCCGCCAACCACAATCTCCAATTTCCTTCTGGAACAGTTGCCTGCCTGTGTTTCAAGGTGGCCGTCCATATTTGGTCTGAAACTAACCTTGAGATCATCTGCGGTACCGGTAAGTAGGTACCGGTAGTTCCAACCCGGTTCTCGCTTCGCATTGGAGGGTTTTGCGACTGCGCTAACAACAGCACCATTACCATTGCCACGACACTATGGTACCTAACTTTGACCTACACAGTACATGGTATTTCATTCAGGCCTGATTTGCATCCCGGTCCCACATGCCCTTGCATTGCGTAGATGTAGATGGATCGCTTACCGCGACACGGAACCCGTCGAAATGGTCAGGTACCTGTACGCGTCGCATGCAGATTGGCTATATCCATTTTGGAGGGATTGGCGTTAACTTTGGAGGCCGCGTATGTTGCTGCCTAGAGTATGCCTAGTCGGTGATTGCCGGTAGGGGTGGTGGACGCGTATACGTTGTGGAGGGGGGTTGTTCTGGGGTGCGGGAAGCGAGAATTGGAGTGATATTGTGTGTAATATGTAGATTGTTTGTTTGGCGTCATTGCTATTTTTGAAAAAAATCCATGGGAAGCTCAAGGTTCGTTATTCTTGAACCATAATGCTATCGTTGAATTGAAGGGTGCCCGAATACACATACTTCATTTGCGAGTTGCTATGACTCTGTAATGAGGATGACGACAGTAGAGCATCGGATCCCTTTCGTCACTGTTGCCAAAACCACGATGAACCTCATGGCATCTAAATCACTTGCCTCTGTTTTAGCGTGTCAGGTCTCAAGCAAAGCTAGCCGTCCGCTCATCCAGACAACGAAAGCAATACAATACATCTCAAAATAGCAACAATATAGAAACCCATATGCCATCACTTCTCTAGCCAAACAGACCGTCGGATCCGAGTACACAGCACATAGCCATTGCACCTGCATTCCTGCACGCTATACGCCACCGCAACCAACAAAGCCATCGTCTGATTACCCCGGAAGCATAGTACGGAACGAGTGAGCCGAGTGCAGCGGGGGACCTGCAGAAAAGAAGGACACTAATATGACAAGGAGATGGAGAAGGATCTTCAGTCGTTTGAGCCTTGGTGTCTGCCTGGCCGCGGTTAGGCGAATGGCGACCAACGCGATTGGGAGGTCAAGCTTTCGGTAAAGGATACCGGTAGGGGTGGTGTTGGCAAGATCACGGGTGAGGGTGATGGTATAGGCATGTGATTGAAAGCTAGATTGAAAGAATATCCTGTTGGGTTAGTTTGAAGTAGACGCCTATACGCGAGTGTCTAAGTTTAGTGTTTCAATATACTTCTGTGATGACAATAGTGGCGTTGGTACATATTATTTAGGACATGAAACGTTGTTCATTCTGAACCATGACACTGGTAAATAGATGTAATGCACCATCTAGTCTATTGAATAAGCCTCGTGTTTCTATTATTCTATAAGTATAACAAAGTCCTCTCTTCGGCCTCGGTATGCAGGCAGTGGAATTTAACACAAATCAGATGCCAACTCTTCGTAATGTGGAATTTATTGGAAAAATATATTAGCTTCCTTCCAAGGCTAGAAAAAAGACCACAGGTTACCGGTACTCTTATAACTTTCTCTTCGTTCCATCTCTTCGTTCCAAAAACACTATGCTTAACATCAGTATCGTCACAAAACATGATGCGCCACGACGTGCCGACGAGAAGACGTGAAGATATTTTCCACTCCGTGGATCCACTACCTAACATAAGCCCCTATGAAACTGTTATATTTCCCTTATGCAAATAAATACCCTCGTACTTTCACTTCACACTTCCTACCAGGGAAACCGTTCCTTCGCAGAGTTCACCTCCAGTCTGCCTCGCAACTGGCGAGCCATATTGCCAAGGTCAGAAATTTCCCTCGAACTTCACCTACATGGAACCTCGCCCATATGTAACTAGCAAAATATACCTAGCACAGCCCGAGACAAATAAATTTGTCGAATCAGCCTCATAGCTAGCCTAGACCGCGTGGCAGTAGTCGCTCCACATTTCGATCGTACATACAATGCAATGAGCCTAAATAATCCATGATCTTCATGGCAGGGCTGTAGTAGGGCAAGATTACTCCACAAAACACTTAGAGCGGATAAGTGTACTGTACCACGATGTTTTGACAAAATAGGCGGTGCTATATTCAAGGGCTTATATAGCTTCCAAGTCCAATTGTAGGATAGAGAACAAATCAGGTTGGCTAGCAAGAACCTTGATGTATATAAAAAGTCAGGACACAATAAATCACATCCCCAAAAAAATCTTATAGAATTCATGCCCCAAATTCACAGTACAGCAAAACTGCACCAGGGCTCTTAGAAGCTCCAATTTCGAAATTCCCATGTGCTTACCATGTTCTTTCCTATATCTAAATTGCCTCACAATTCTTACATTAAGTAGATCTTTCTTTTAGAGGTCGTTCATTATAAATTGCCTATCGCATCATACCAGCACGTTCATTGTAGCGACACCTGCAAATCCATCCGTCACTTGTGTTGGATTGACTCACATTGTATTTCCCCATCTTTCCACACAGCAGCAATAATCCTAGCTAGCACAACCTTTAGTGCACAAGATGAGTGGTTCTGGGCCCAAGCACAGTGACACTAGCGTGGTGTCAGTAGAGAAAAATCTTTTCGTGTGCAATTTTCACTACTAATAGCAAGATATGTATTTGAGATTTACCAAATTCTCCATCAATAACATGAACTGCCTGGTTAGCTCAATCGGTAGAGCGTGAGACTCTTAGAGTCTTCGTTCCCCAAGAACGATTGATCCATCCAATCTCAAGGTTGCGGGTTCGGTTAGTAATCCCCTCAGTTCCCCCGTTCGAATCACTCTTCTAACAGTTTCCTAGACCCCCGCATCGGGCTTCAATTCTTTTTGCATCTTTTTGCATCTTTCCATGCTGCGATCTTTATCTATTATAGCTGCAGTGTAGCACTTCGCCTCTTATTCTATGCAGTCTCATAGGCTAGAGTTTTTTTTTTACGTCTGCTAGCTATCTTTATGCTGTTTATGCATCTCCCTTGCTTTAGATACTAGGTGCAGGACAAAGTCCCCACACGTACTGCGCTAGCTTCCGTTTTCCACGCTGAATTCACTTTCCTCCTCTACTTTCACATGCACGTACACATGTACGACATCCCGGATATTCTTAGACTTGAACACTAGGATGATGCTTGCTTCTGACGCCATGTTATCTTGCCTTGCCTAGGCTAGGGGAAGTTAATGGGATAGATGTTTCAGGCTTGATTAATAGAGCAGTTGCGTGCTTTTTCGGTCTTTTTGTTTGACTTTCGTGCGGAATAGATGGATTATTAGAGGAAGATGGGTGCGATGTGCAAAATCTTGGGGCTGGATGAATGCTTGTGTGGATTTTGCAGTATCTGGTTCCATGACCAAAAGAATGTATATATGTACAAAGAGCATTGATTGGTATAAAAATGCCTGCTACGACCACTTTCGCGTGAAATTTTCATTAACAACGAAGCCAAGCTTTTCATTGGAACGAGGGGTGTTCGCTCCAGTTTTGCATTATGGTTCATCGTGTAAAGAAGCCACATACGGGGGCCATGTTCACTCGTCGGCATCAAGTTCGACAACGGTCTTGGTCCATTGGCGGGCTGGGACCTTGCGCTTGAACAAAATGTCGATTTCACGGTAGGAGCGGTTCTTCATCTCAGGCAGGTAGAAGTAGGCGACGACGAAGCAGAAGAAACCGGTTCCACCCCAGACGTAACCGCACTTGCCACCGAGATTGGCCTCCTAGAATTCTGTTAGCAAGCATGTCCTGCAAGTTTATCGAGACAAGGGGCAACGAACCTTGGGGTTGAGCATGTAACTCGCGAGGAAAATACATGGGATGTTGACCATGTAGTAGCATGCACGTCCGACACCTGTGGTCAGAGGTCGCAGACGAATAGCAGATGTCTCTCCAATAATGACCCACGAAGCGGGCGCAGGTCCCAAGGTGAACAAGACGGAAACGATGAGACCCAGGGAGGCTTGCGCCAAGGAGGCTGCAGTCGAAGTGCCGACAGAGCCTGCGATACCGAGGGCAATCAGGAAGCCGACGTTGATGAGAGAACCCCAAACGTAAATGGTACGTCGGCCGAGGTACGAGGTGAGAATCCAGGAAAGCATGACAAAGATCCACTGGAGAGCGGATGTGATGAGACCCAGGGCAAAGGCAGTATCCGTCGACATACCAGCCTCTGTAGTTATATTAGCATACAGATTTTATCCGCTGTAGCAATGGCGGGAACTTACGCTCGAAGAAGTAGACGGCCTGGTTAGCAATCAGGTTACCAGTAAGATTTTGTGCCGCATAAACACCACAGACAATGGCAGTGCGGTAGAGGTCAGTGCCCTTGAACAATTCGATGTGGTTGGGCTCTTTGATGGATTTCTCGAGATCGATGGTACGGCGCATCATGGCAACAGCCTCGCTAGTGTTAAGAGTCTCTTTGCGTCCCAGGCGTCCAACTGCGTGTTCTGCTTCTTCAAGACGTCCCTTACGGACCAACCACCAAGGCGACTCGGGGGCAATGAAGAGAAGAATAGCCAGTGGGGTTGGGAACATCCATTGGAGAGCAATGGGAATCCTAGTTATCTCTATTAGCATATTGGACCCGCGTGCAAATGAAGAGAAGAGCGCACCTATAGGCAATTGGGTCGTTGATCTTGTTGTAGTGGTAGGTGACGCCACCGACGATAATAGCACCAATAGCCCAGAACATTTGCAACATCTGAGTGGCAGGAGCACGCAGCTGGATTGGCGTAATCTCACTGCAGTAGGCTGGGGCGTTGGCAATGAAGATTCCCCATGGAATGCCCTCGAGAAGCTGGGCGACAAACATGACGGGCAGCGACTTGGCGAAATAGAAGATGAAGATGAAGGCGTTCAAAAGCATCAGTCCGGTGATTGTGGCCCATCGGTATCCAATACGGCTGGTAAGGGGACCGGCAAGCATAACACCGATAATGGCGCCCACTGGCCCACCCATTTGAAGAGCAGATTGCCAACTAGCTACAATGACATTCTTGTTGGTGTTGGTGTCGAGAACACCGTAATCATTTGCGAATGCGGGAAGAGCAATGAAGTTACCCATCAAGAAGACACAGTAGGATTCCATGATCTGAAAATGGTGTCAGTGATCATTCGTCGTCGTCGAGCCAAAGCAAACATCAAAGAAGAAAGGGAAGAGCTTACAATGGTGCAAGACATGATGAAAGCCCAGAAGGCGGCCATGGGATACGCCTTGACAGCCTGGATCACACCCATGTCATGCTCAGCAGTCTCTGCGTCCATGGCAGCCAGCTTGTACTGCGCAGCCAGCGCCTTCTCATCGAGGGCGGCGGCATCTTCGACTGGCGAAATGCCCTTCTCGATGTGTTGGTCAACGCCATCGGTCTTGATATCGACGGGCTCGTGACCCATGATTGCTGATGTCGATCTAGATGTCCAACGTGTGGAGTAAGGTGAGGATGGCAGGGAAAGAGTACCTGTGGAAATCAAAAGGCGAGCAACTGGAAAGGCTCCAGCTTATAAAGAGCACAGGGGCACGGCTCCAACGCCCGGCAGACCTGTACCTGGACAGATTACCGTGTCTGCCACGGTCTGGGATGTGTAGTATCCATTTTCCCATGCGACCGGTCACAGGGCCTAGCTGGGCAGTCGGAGAGAGGCCGATCTCAAGGCGTGCGAGTCTGGGGTCACAATCACCTCGTTCCCAGGTATTCCAGATGGTCGAGCGCGCATTAGTAGCGGATAGACTGCCCAAAGGGACGGTAGCGCTCTGACGGATGGGACGGTGCCTCGACTGTGATTGCAATGGCTCGGCGTTTACTGCGATGAATTTGCGCCACTTGACGGCGGTAGACTTTTGTGCCGCTCCATGGCAACCTATCAGCGGGTTGGCGAGCAGCAGCACTGTCCAGGTGCTAAGACCGTCCCCGCACAACAGATGACATTTCATCCGGCCCCGCCGAGCCTTCATCCCCAGCTTCTCCAGCTCCACTGCCGTAGTCTCCACGCGGCCACCGTTCTTTTCCAACCTCGTCTCGGCCACGATACACCGAGCTCTACAAGGACCAGCGGAGCTACTTCCCTGCCCTGTCATGACCTTGGCTCGTTAGCAGCACAAGCTTGCGGACGGCGGGCTGCAACCGACTGGGAGGCGCTGGGTGTGCTCCCAATGGTCCTACCAAGCTGGACTTGGCTACGACAAGCTACTGAGGGTCTTCCTGGGCAAACGCCCGATCTGAAGACGTTGGCCCTGCTTTGGCCCTCAGCCTCAACTCGGTGCCAGAAGATCTCCCCTCCCGTCCCCCGTGGATCCTGCTAAGATCGTTTGAGCTTTCTAGCAAGGAAGCACAACCATTCCAGGCTGTCGGGAAGCATGGTGCGGTTGTTGTCGTTGTTGTTGTTGTCATCGTCGTTGGTGTCGCACCCGGGACCCAGGTTCTTCTCTCCCTCTCTCCGTCTCTTGTCTCTCTCCGAAGGCGGCACATTATCTGGCCTGGTCTGGGTTTGCAGTGCATGTGCCATGACCCCGTAATCCGCACGGACGTGGAAAATGCACTAGTATAGCCCCACCAATCAACCCCGACCTTGCCTTGTCTCTCCCCCAAGGATGCAATACCGAAAGCAGACTGCTTGTCCGCTCTCACTGTGCCGCACCATTGCTCATCCAACCTTGCTCCCATTGACAGGCCCGTGTGTGGGTGTCGCTGGGTAGTAGGCAGGTAAGTAGGTACTTACGGGTATTACTTCTCGGTATCTATGGTATGACCACCTCCCTTCTTACTATTACACCTACCTGCCCTTTGCGACCTCCCCAACCTTTCAAGGGACACGAGATGTACGAACAAAGTCGAGCATGACAGATCGTTTATTGGTGCATGGTCGTGATACCCAGGATCTTCTGCATCCACACGAGCGCTCTCATTCGACCGCCTCCTTCGCCGAGGACTCGATACGAAGCCATTGATTCCGCCCTGCATGATGTTGGGAAGATGATCTCTGACTGAACAGCAAACTTCCGTATATTGTATCCCTCCGCATTCCTATCCTCTTGAACGGCAATCGCGTACCAAAACTCGCCGCATGTTCTCAGCCCAAAAACTGTGTCGTCTCAGCCAAGATCCATCTCCCAGGATTCATGAACAATTTCACGACTGATTTCATCACATATCCTGCCCAATGGTGCAATTTACGCTTGTATAAGCCACATCAGCGATTATTTATCCTTTCAACATTGGGACGCAGCAATTTCGAATACCTAACAGCAAGATGCCATCCAACTGAACTCGTATACCAGGTACCTATGTATAGGTTCTAATATTGCTCTTGGCTTAGGCCCGAATTTGGCGCATGTGTACACAGTACATATGCCTAGCCAGGTATACATACCCAATGTCTCTGTTAGGGTAACGTCAGACCATTCACCTTGGCAGACGGTAATTCTATCCCGCGGCTACACAGAGCAATGGCATTATGAAGGTTGCGCAACACCACTTGACATGGACGAGTCATTGCTGTGGGCTGATCAACTACCCCCCAAGTGCGACCAAAGCCTCGGCGGCGGAAGAGGCCACGCCATGACGCTAAAGTCTTTTCATACTCGCCGCTTATATATAGCGCTGGCATCTACCTCGAGGCTTATTGGTTAGTCCATTTTGCGTACATGATCCAGTTGCTGGACTCCAATTCAAGTGCCACAGCATCCCATTACTGGTCGACATCGTATTTCAAACCCATCATTGCGAAACTGATCGAGTGCAGCCACCCAAGGGATCCCGTATCTTAGGCAAAACCACTTTTTCAAGAAGAGCTGAATGATTGGTCTTATCCAGGGTAGGCCCTAGGATATTTTTTCCCATGGAATCCGCAACTGTCTCATTGTCTCAGCGGCCTTGGGCAATGCTCAACTATACTTTGTAGTCTGAGCACATCATTCACTAAACATGGCATGTTCTAGCGACGTCTAGAAAAATGAGATATCAACCATCCTCACCAGCTCCAAACAATGTCTTGCCTACGCCGCATCAGCGAAATTGGGACTCTGATTTTTGTTCTCCGTCAATTGGATGTCCAAAATAATATCCCCAGGTTTCATGCTGCGAAAAATGATGCAAAGAATTCCACAATGGAAAACGTTGGTATTGCTCAAGTCTGGATCACATATTTTTTTTTTCATTTTCGGCCAGCGCTGTGTAGGGTATGGGAAGAGGATGTGGGGGTGCAAGTCGAGGTGATGGTTGTGGGGGGAAGCCTTGGTTTGTGGAGAAGGGACGGAGCCGATGCTCCTCCAACCCCCCGTAAGGTCGCCCGAGAGGTCGGCCGAAACACCGTGCATGTCTGCGTGCCGAGGCCCGAGACACACTCCCCAACGTAGTAGCAAAACCAACAACAGGCAAGAACAACGGGTAAAAGAGCTAGAAAGTCTATTCTCCCAATCTTCCTCTCCTATCGTAGTGACTTGTACTCATCATGTAGTATGATCAATTGGTACAACATCCCAAGTCTTTTCATTGTGGTAGGTAGATGTGTAGTGCAGTGTGATTCTGAATTATAGATGTGGTATGTTATACTATAGAGTAAAGATACTAGTCCACATGGACCTTTAAATACTGCATACAAGTGTTTTCGCAGTAATTATAAGAAATAGTCCATCTTATTATTATACTAACCCTAGATTATAGTAGGCGACGTCTTTGCACCCTTCTACACCTGCATGTTGAAATATTACATTACCCATGTGTACTTTACAGGATCTGACCACTCCACATCTATGCTACGCATAAGCCCTCCTCATTGTATATAACTACCTAGGTCACATCACCATACACTGTGCCACGTTGGTACACAACTGTCAACAACTACCTACTCATCCATCTGACCCTACTATAAGCCCCTATACCCTCTACCATATATGCAAAACTGATTGCCCTCACTCTTATCGCCTTCTTTGCGCATTTAGCCGCTGCTGGACAATACCATATGAACATCACGAGGTTTGTATCCATGTAAAGGGGATTGAAGGCCATGGAGGCCTGCTCCTATGTAGAGACAACTCGGCGTCGTAGTAGGCATGCCTCTATAAGATGAGTATGCCCAATGGGGTTGTGAAGATGAGTGTACATGAGGACATTCTGCTGCAAGCGCATTGCCAGTGGCGCATCTTGTCCATAGAAACGATTCGTGTGATAGCTACCGTACGGGATTCTTGCTATCGCAGCCCTGTATCTGGTCTTTTCTCAGTCAGTTCATCGCCGCGCTCGAGAGCGTTCCTCTTCTGCCCGTAGAGTACTGTACAATTGTGATCGGTACTGGAGTTGATCCTTGGCCGTTTCTTTGGCGCAAAACTCCATTTTTCGATGGCCGTCTTCATGCATGTTCGCGTCGGCCGAAGCAAGCAACCAGCATGGAGTTGGCAATGAGCTGATCGCAGACAAAAGAGCCGACTACCTAGGCCAGGAACTGTGAGCCGAGCAACGTGACTTGGCCGTGAATGGCTCCGAGAGCCTCGGCCCACGCGTCGCAGCCAGGTCGCCCCCCACAACCTCAGCTTAAAACCACTCTCCGCACTCGACATTCACGTCTTCACGTATAACCACCCGCCACCCACCGCTTCACCTCAATTTCATCACACATAGATATACATACCGCCAAGATGACTGACCGCCTAAAGTCCATTGTCAACCAAATGACGCCCTCGACGAGCGGATTGTCGGCCATGTAAGTTCAAGTCACCGCCTCGGGAACGCTGCACGTGCAGATGGACCCGCAACGATTGCCCATGGGGGGAATTTTGTTGCTGACAACAGCTGTAGCACCACCAAAAATGCCGACGATATAGTCATCACGCTTGCTATCCGCACACCCCTCACCAGGGCACACAAGGGCGGCTTCAAGGACACGACGCTCGATGGCCTGCTCGTCAAGACACTCAAGCAGGTCGTTGCCAGGGCCAACCTTGACCCGGCCCTCGTAGAAGACATCTGCTGCGGCAACGTCAGCGATCCAAAGGCCGCATACTATGTCCGCGCCGCTATGCTTGCCGCCGGCTTCCCCAACACCACATCCGGCTCATCGGTCAACCGGTTCTGCTCATCAGGGCTCAAGGCCGTGCAAGACATTGCCAATCAGATCTCCGTAGGCGCTATCCAGTGTGGTCTAGCCATTGGCGCAGAGAGCATGACTGTAGGCGGAGACCGGCTGGAACGCCCCTTTGTCGACGAGATCCTCGAGCACCCAGAAGGCAACGACTGCATGCAGCCCATGGGTCAGACCTCGGAGAACGTGGCGAAAGAGTTCAACATCTCCCGCGAACGCCAGGACAGGTTCGCCGCTGAATCCTACCGCCGGGCCGAAGCCGCGCAAAAAGCGGGCTGGTTCGACGACGAAATTGTTCCCATCACCACCGCCGTCAAGGACCCCAAGACTGGCGAAGTCAAGAATGTCACCCTCACCCGCGACGAGGGAATCCGCCCAGGCACCACCTTTGAGAGTCTCCAAAAACTCAAGCCCGCCTTCCTCCCCCACGGCGACCGCTCCCACGCCGGAAACTCGTCCCAACTCACAGACGGCTGTGCCGCCGTCCTTCTCATGAAGCGCTCCATGGCCCAAAAACTCGGCCAACCCATTCTCGCAAAGTTTGTCGGTGCCACAGTCGCCGGCCTGCCCCCACGCATCATGGGCATCGGCCCTTCCGTCGCCATCCCCAAGCTCCTCTCCCAGTTCAACCTAAGCCTCGACGAAATCGACCTGATTGAGATTAACGAGGCCTTTGCCAGCATGGCTGTCTACTGCCTCGAGACGCTCAAGATTGACCACGCGAAGCTCAATGTGAGGGGTGGCGCTATTGCGCTCGGTCACCCGCTCGGATGCACGGGTGCAAGGCAGATTGTCACGGGCTTGAGTGAGTGCAGGAGGCAGAAGAAGAAGATTCTGTTGACGAGCATGTGTATCGGAACGGGTATGGGCATGGCAGGTCTGTTCGTCAATGAGCAGAATGTGTAAAGGAGATTGGTAGTCGGGGCTTTTACTTCATCTTCTTTCATCATTAATCCTTCTTCATAGTCTGTAAGTATATGGAAAAATTACATGTTATCCCTTGTTGAACTGAACAGAAGATACATCATGCCACCCAAACCTATTCATACCCTTTCATATCATACTTTTCTGCAAACTTGATGCTTGAAGATTAGCAGATTAGAAAATTGCCTATACCTCGGCAGAATATAAAACAAAATCTCATGTCATCTATGTGGGGTGGCGTAGTAGTCTATCATAAAACCATCATCGCATTAACCATGTCATGTCCTTCTCCACAACTCTCTCACAAGATACTTGAAAAAAAAATCCATGACCTCCCCATCCCAAAGTGCGCTAGTTTCCCAAACATGTACCAACGCTCCCTTTCAAATGCTTTTATTTTTCACACAAAACCCAGTCGTGAGCTCAGTTGTTCCATATTCTATTCCCGCATGTGACGCCATGGTTTTAGATGCTGGAAGGACCTCAAGTGTCGGTTCGTCTGTGTGAAACAAGGGGATACATAACTCTAAGCCTCCTCAACGCCATCGGGTTTTTGCGCCTCGGCATCGGCCATCTCAGTGTCCTTTTGGTCAGCGGCTGGGGGTGCGTTCTCAGCCTTCTTAGCTTCAGCTTCCCGCTTGGCGCGTTCGAGCTCAGCTTGCTTTGCGGCGTGCTCCTTCTGCTGCTTCTCCATGATGGCTTGCCGCTCTGCCTCGATCTTGTCGTTGTAGCGCTGGATGATGGGGCCGGCAATTGAGCGTATATCCTCCTTCTTGGCGACGTACTGTGCCTTGGTAGCATCGTCACCGTCATCGTATAACCATTCCTAGTTGTTCGTCAGTATATGATCGTTTCTTGACACGTTTGATTGATCTTACCTCGATCTGCTCAAGTTTGGCGTTGAGTTTGGCCTTCTCGTCATCGCTGGCGAAGTCGGCGTAGACGTCGAGGATCTTGTCCTTGAGCTCGTAGATCATGCTTTCAAGATTGTTCTTCTCGTTCTCAGTGTCGGCGACGAGCTTGTCTTCCATGATCATGGAGTTCTCGCGCTCAGCAGCTGTCTGCTTGCTGGTCTCATCGAGCGATGCGGTCCCTGCGGACAGCGGTAGGTCGCCCTTTCTCTGCTGCTTCTTAACCTTGCGTGTCTTCGGTGGCTCCTTGGGGGCATCCTTGTCGACGTCCATTGCCTGCGTAAGATGTGTTAGTTCATCGGTTGTAGAGGCTGAAGCAGGTGGACGCGCAAGAGGTACAGATTCATCAGACTTGTGTCGCTTCGCCGCAGGCTCCGCAGGGGGGCTGATTCGGCCTTTGCTCAAATCACTGAGAAAACTGGAATTACGTACGTCACCCTCTTTCTTCTCATCTTGTGGGGGCTCAGGGATAGGCTCCTCGACCTCGACTTCCTCCACGTAGTACCCAGACTCGACGTTGAGCACGCCGTGAATGTTCAGGCGAGCCTTGAGCTTGCAGATCATGAAGTCGCCTTTGGGGTCCTCCTTGACACCCTTGACCGAAAACCTACCGATCCAAGGATTCGCCTTGCCTGGGAGTTGCTCTGGCTTCGCATACCTGGCCTCGAGGTCGAAGGGGTGTTTTCTGTAAAAGGTTAGAATCTTTGTGGAGGGCATGACGTTGCCCTTGTTGAAAACAGTAAGATTGGTATCCTCGTCTGGGATGTCCTCGGATTTTTCCCAGGTGAACTCGACAGGGTAGACGACCATGTCGTGTACAGAAAAGTCACGGACACGGAACACGGGGGAGAGGATAGCGCAGCTAAAGGCGCATCCGCGAGCAACAGCCTCGTCCTGGTTGAGTGTGAAGGAGAGGGGCTTGCCGAAGTATTCCTGGATGCGGGCCTTGATGGCAGGCACACGCGTGCAGCCACCCACCATCTCGATGGCATCAATGTCAGCAGGAGTGAGTTTGGCCTCAGCGAGGGCTTGCTCAATGGGAGCAGTGGCACGCTCAAGGAGGGGGGCCATCAACTCTTCAAGAGCAAGCAACACGAATCCTCCGTAGTCCTCATGT